CTATCAGGTTTGGAGTCCAAGGTCCCTGGCTTCTAACCCTGACTTTACCACTTACTACCAGTGTGATTTTGAGTAAGCCTCCTCATCTCTCTATGCTTCAGTTTTCTTATTTACAAAATAAAGAACTAAATGACCTCTAATCAAATAATCAATGATTTCATAAGCATTTATTAAACACTTACTATGTACCAAGCTCTAGGGTTATAAAGACACAGAAGCAAACAGTCCCTACTGTCATGAAGCTTGCATTCTGTTAGGGAATGGAGAGAGAGAGAGACAGAGAGACAGAGAGATAGAGAGAGACAGAGAGACAGAGAGATAGAAAGAGACAGAGAGAGACAGAGAGACAGAGAGCATATCCAGAATAAATATATTAAAAAGTGAATAAAAAACAAATACAACTTAGTTAAATACAAGGTAGTCAAGGAGGGAGGGGCCTAGCTATTGTAAGGGATCAGGAAAGACTATAAAATGTTGGGTGGTTGAGTCTTGAAGGAAGCAAGGAATTCCATGAGGCAGAGGTGAGGAGAGAGTGCACTCCATTCATGGGGGACAGTAAAAGCAAGGTCAAGGAGATGGGAAATGAAGTACTATGTGGGAAGAACAGAAAGAAGGCCAATTTGGTTAGACTGTAAAGTACAGAAAGGGAAGGAATGCATAATGAGGCCAGAAAGATAGGCTGGGAAAATGATATTTAATATCTAAGCTAAACTCCTCAGAAATACCCCCTTCTACTCCACTCCCTGGGGGGAAAAATATGTTGATATCTCATAATAGGGATGTTGGTTGAGGGGGATTTGGAGAAAGAGTTTCTTGCCTAATACCTGGGAATGTCTAAAATTAGTGAATTTCCTACATTGACTATGGAGTCAGAAGATCTGGATCTAAATTCCACTTCTGAAAATCACTAGCTGTGTCACCTTGGACACGGACATTTCTGAGCCTCCATTTTCACATCTGTGAAATGGGGAGGCTGGGTTGGACCAGATGGCCTCTAAAATCCCTTTCAGCTTTAAATGTATGATCTAGGATCTGGAAAAAGCATGAGCAGGTAAGTACTTAGAAGCAAACTGTCTTTGATGATGGTTTATCAGCACAGGGATCTCAAATGTCATCTAGTCCAGCCCCTTCATTTTTCAGAGGAGGCAGCTGAGGCCCAGAGAGGTTGATTAACTGGCCTCAGGTCACATAGCTCACAGATGGCAGAAGCTGGCGGTAGGGCCCAAGATCTCCTGATTCTTTCCATTAGACAGACTATGTCAGCCCATCAGAGTCACATTTCTGCTGCCTGGGGACCAGATTCGGTGATTTGGCTGGTTTCCACTAGGGAGTTGTGGCAGTCTCATAGACAATTTGTTAGACAGAAGGTCTTTGAGGGGTGCTTGGCACAAATGCTTCACCAGCTGGCACCTGTGGGGCCTTACCCTCTTAACCTCAACCAGCCCTCATCATCAGAGACTTTGAGGGCTTCTGATTTGGGGGTGAGAACAGAGTAGGGCAGCCTCCCCCACCCCGAAAAAGGCCACATTCTCATGGTCCTGGATGGCCAGAAAAACAGGCAAGTACTCAGAAGCAATCTGTGCCTTTCTCACAGGATCAGAGATTTTGAGCTGACGGGGATTGTTAAGGTCATTAAGTTCAACCTCCTCATTTTACCCATGAGGAAACTGAAAGCCAGAGAAATGTGGTGAGTTGGCCAGGGTTACACAGCTACAAGAGGGCAAAGTTTGAACCCAGGCCTTCCTGTCTACAGGTCCGGCATTCTATTTGTTGTACCATGCTGAAGTTTAGAAAATAGGGTTCCCCCACAGGCCCCTGGAAAAAAATACCATCTATTCTTTAGAGGAGCCATGACTAGAACAAAATAATCTATTCTCCAGAGTTAGAAGAAAGGTAGGCAAAAGAACCCTTTCAACTGTCTATGGATGCAAAAAATAATAATGATCTTTTTTTTTCCTGTAGCTATTTCCCCAGTCCCTTGGAAGGAATCACACCAAGGCAACCTAACCATAAGGCATCATCTACAGCAAAAGAAAAGCAATCACTCCTCAGGATCATAGAATCATAGAAAACTGAGACATTTAGCCCAACTCAGGAAACTGAGACCCAAAGAGGTGAAGTGACTTGCCCAAGTGGCAGAGACAGGAGTTGAGCCCAGGTCCCCAGATCCTAGAGTCAATGTTTTTCCCATTGTACCACAGCAGCTTCCTTCCCTAGGCTGGATTAGGCTCCATTTTGAGGTTCTAAGCAGGCTATAAAAGAGGAGACAGAGAATAGGGAAGGGGGGGAGGGGAGAAAGGGGGGAGGAAGAGGAGGGAGAAGAGGGAAGGAGAAGAGAGAGGAAGAGGGGGGAGAGGGGGAGAGAAGGGAGGGAGAGGAAAGAGAAGGTGAGAGAAGTGGAGGGAGGGAAGAGGGGAGGGAGGGAGGACAGAGGGGGGAGAAGAGAGGGAGGGAGCCATTCTGCCTATCTTCCAAGAAGCTGGAAAATGGCTATTTTCTTCCCTTTCCATTTTCCTTCCCTTAGCAGAAACCAACTCTCTCACCATTGCTGAGGTAGATGGGGCTCATCTCTGGAGTCTTTTCCTTTTCCCTCTTTACAGAGTCAAAGGGAGCAAAGAATATAGAGGAAGGGGATACTGAGCATGTGGCTTTCTCTATAACTGAGAAAGAGGAAGACAGCAAAAAATGGGATCAAATAAAATAATATTTGTAAAGTGCCTGATACATGTTGTTCTGTCGATTTAGACTCTTCATGACCCCATTTGGCGTTTTCTTGGCAAAGATACTGGAATGGCCATTTCCTTCTCTAGCTCATTTTACAGATGAGGAAACTGAGGCAAACAGGGATAAGTGACTTGCCCAGGTTCTCACAGCTAGTGTCTGAGGCCAGATTTGAACTCAGGAAGATGAATGTGTTCTATCCACTGCACCACCTAGCAACTCATTTACATGATCTCATTTGAATTTAAGGTACCCTTTGAGGTAAATAACTATTAGTATTATGATCCTCATTTTACAAAGGAGGAAACTGAGGTTCGGAGGCTAAATGACTTACCTGAGGTCACCCACACATCTAATAATCCTGATGAAGGCAGGATTTCAATCCAGGTCTTCCTGACCCCAAGCCCAGCATTCTATCCTCTATAACATACTGCTTCTTTGTGTACCTCCCCCTCCAAATCCCTACATGGTGCTATGTGAGCAAAACCCATGCCTATACCTTCACCTCTTCTTCTAGAATCAAACAAACGTGGAGATCACCCAATACAACCATATTAGCCCTCCTGCCTCGAGGTCTGTCTCAGCTCTGCCATTCTCCCTTATCCCCGATTCCCAAAGCCTGGACAACCATCAATTCCCTCCTGGTCTTCTTCTCTTTTCTCTCAGTTTTTCAAGAGACAGGATAATCCCCTTCTGATTTCCAGCTGAATACAGATTCAAGGGCTGTTGCTATCAGGTTTAACTAGGTTTATTAAGGGAGAGGGAGGGAATTGGTGTGAGGATTGGAAAAGGCAGTGATGAGGTCAGAAAAGGGGAGAGCCTCAGCCCAGATAGAATTGGGTCTATGCTGGGAAGGGGGTAGGAGAGAACTTGGGGGCCATCAAATTGGAGATGGGGGTTGAGTATCCAGAATACAGTCTCCAGAAAAGCCAGGGGTAACCAGTATCTAGGCAACCATGTGTAGAGGAGGGGGCAGGAGACAGGGGTGGAATAGAGGTGGGGAGTGGGCAGGAGAAGAGAAGCTGAGTACTGGAAAGGAGTTTCCATGGCAACTACCAGGCAGGTCACGTGAGAAAGAGCTAAGTTGCAGAAACACATATACAATTTGAGGAAGGCAAGGCGAGGCTAGGGCCAGCCTGGGTGGGGTCCATTCAGGAAAGGAATTGCCTAGACACCCAGCTTGCTCATGGAGATCCACCCCAATGCCCTTCGAGTCTCATCCCAGTCCAGCCTTGCCACCCCAGGGAGACAAAGAAGGAGAAAACCGGCCGGCAGCTATAAACGGACGATTGTACAATAGTCGTTCCCCTAATACCTGAGAGCTGGAAAGGGAGGGAGGAGGAATGGTAGGGAGGAGGGGGAATGTTTTGAAACATACCCATTCCCCAGGTGTGTCTACACCCCACCAGACAGCTCATCAGTGTCTAAATTCCTCTCCCCCACCTTGTACAGCCTATTTACTCCTCCAGTTGTCCATGTGGGGAGAGGGATGAGAGGCACTCATGAGGATTGTAGTGGTCAATACCCCCAGCTCTGCCTGCTCCAACTGTATTGGAGAAAGGAAATGGGAGTCAGGAGGAGGAGGAGGAGGCATTCACTCCTGGGTCCAAATAGATTAAAGAGAAGGGAAGCTTTACATTTCCATACACTAGACCACCAGTATTCTCTTCAATCTGCCTCTACCTCATCACCTTACAACCAACTACATCCACGTCTTTATTACTTAGACACTCGTGTGCACGCACACATCCGAGGGCACATTCCCAAATCCACTCGAGCCATACACAGACGTACTCGTACCCTTGCGCCACTGATACAGCCCCTGAGTAACAAAGGAAAAAAAATCTCTCTGAAAGAAAAAAGAGTGAGGGGAAGCAGAACAAATCCTCCCCAGCCCCACTCAAATGCCAAGTTCAAGACAACCACAGAAACCTTTCCCAGTCGTAAGCTCTCCTGTCCCTGGCCCCATTATACCTCCAAAAATTCGTCTCCCCTATGAGCTCCTTTCCCTCTTCTTCAGATCTCCACTTAAACCACCCCCCCACCACAAAAAAAAAAACCCGCCTATCTCTTAAGGTCATTTTCCCAACTGAAAGCATACCCCTAGCCTTCTCTGAGAGAATCTCACCTAACCATCCAAATTATGCCATCAGCAAGTCAATCAATTTCCAAACCATCCCTGGGCTCCAGGGGGCTTCCATCTAAGCCACTTTCCCCTCCCCGGAAACAAGTACAAAACTTTCTCTGTCTTTCCCCTGCCCACCCCTACTACTACTTACCTTTATAGAACCCCAGTCTCCAAGAAAATCCAAGGAGGCCCAAGAAGTCTCTCAGATTACTAGAAGTGATGGGGGTGGGGTAAAATGGGGGTTTGCACGTAAGCGTTTGCTTTTTTCCCCCAAGTCTCTCTTCTTCTGTGTGGGAGTCCAGGCAGTCAGGAATAAAGTGTTCTCTATGTGTTGTGTTGTGTGTGTGTGTGTGTGTGTGTGTGTGTGTGTATTTGTGTGCGTGGCAGGGCTGGGCTGCTCTTGCTAAGTCTGGGGACCCAGATGCATCCGTCTCAGCTGTCTAATGGCTTCTGGGTAGCTTCAGACACAGATGCCCCCTCCCCTTCCTCTCCCCTCCCCCCATGGTCCTATGTACAGTCCTCTCCTCTCTGACTGGTGGAGGGAGAAAGATAAAAAGGCCAGTCAAGCATGGAGCAAGCAACAGGAGCCCTGCCTTAGAGTGGGTGCGGAGGTGGAAGAAAGAATTTGCAGTCAGCTGTTGCTTTTTGGTTTTTCTGTGGTAGGAGTGGATGAGAGAGAGGCATGCACACACAATGAAAGACCTAGTGTTTTCCCCCTCCTACTCTGTCTCTCAGAAATAGTAAACGAAGGGGAAGGGAAGGATGGAAACACTTAAAAGCCCAGTACTAGACTCAGACAGCCCACGTTAATTAGGAACCTCAGTAATTAAGGGAAAAAATGAATTAAAATTATGAATGACTGCACTGGAGTTACAGGGAGCCCAGCCTTTGTTTAGGAGAAATCTTATTTTCAGCTGTAACTGACCAAGGATGACAGTGGTCCTTGCCAGGATGGCCAGATGGCTCCAGAGGTTCGCTGTTCAACATACCTATACGGTTTCAAGCACACCCCTCACCCCAGGATGTCAAAGACTCAAGGCACTCAATCTCAAGAGATATAGCCCCAGCATTGCCAGAAACAGCAACAAAACAATAGCAGTTTAAGTGGAAAAAAACAAGGACGAGGTGGGAACCTCTCTCCTGGAAACCATAAAGTACTTTCTAAATAGGAGTTGTTAGTATTACTGTTGCCACCACCACAATCCCAGGACTCTGGGGACCATTAGAGAGGAGTAAACAAAACCTCTCAGATGAGTGGATTTGGGATTGAGTTGAAAGCACAGGCCTTGCCTGCCTGGACTCCTTCACCAGGAGTCAGCCAAGTGGACCATGGTTTTAGAGAAGGGAGGAATTTTACCTTCTGTGACTTGGTGGGGGGGGGGAGGTGTTCTGGGAAGAGGCATTATAATAATAGTCTGAGCTTCCTGTGAGAACTCATTGCCCAATCATGCTCAAAGTACTTTATGGAAAGACAAAGATTGAGAGGACATGCGACTGAATTCCATAAAATCCCAGACAATGAAATCCCAAATGTAATTGTGCCAAAAAGGAAGGCGACATTGTTCACCAAATCCCGGAAGGTGTACCCTTTGTAACATTAGAGAGTTAAGCTTAGGGCCCACATAAGGAAGCCACCAATCCCTATGACAGGTAATAATACACTTAGGGAACTCGATACCCCCAGGAGGTACTAATATCTACAGACAGAAATGGATTGAAAATGGATTTGAGTCAATTAGTGAATTATAGACTCATACTTGGTTCCCAAGACATGGTAGAACTCAGCCTAATCCAGGGGTGGGGAACCTGTGACCTACAGGCCACATGTGGCCCTCTAGGTCCTTAAGTGCAGCCGTTTGACTGAATCCAAACTTCACAGGTCAAATCCTTTTATTAAGGGATTAAAAGTTACTAATTTTTAAGGTAACTTCAGGGAAAATAATCCTGGACTTTTGTCAACAGGCAATCCCGTTCGCCTAGTAGAATGTAGGCTTCTTGGAGGAAAGAACTGTTTCATTTCTGTCCTTGTATCCTCACTAGAATGGAAGCTCCTCGGAGTGCAGGAATTGTTTCATTTTGTGTTTGTGTCCCTAGCTCTTTGCAAAGTGTCTTGTACGTAGTAGGTACTTAAATGCGCAGTTGAATTCCCAGCACTTGTCCTGTCAACAGTACACAGGGTTGTCTGCATCCATGGTCTGAGCCAGGACAGAGATTTGTATGTTCTTAGGGAAGCAATTAAAGTCTTGGCAAACCAATCAACATCCAAAACCTGACCATCACCTATGCCATGTTTGAACAGCTTGTTCAGTCCTTCTGTGCAGAATTCTTTCTACCCATACATTCTGGGCTATGATCTCTCTCTTCATTTTCTATTCTGGGCATACCCTAAAGCCTGCATTCTGGGCACCTCTTACTGCCATTTTCCAGAACACCTTCTGTCAAAGAAGGATTCATCAAATCTGGGCTGTACAAGTACCTGAGTATGAGAGGATTTGCCAGTGGATCAGAGGCTAGAAATAGTACCACCTGTTGGTGCTAACTCCTTTCATGATGAGAATTCCAAAGTCCTTTGCCAAATCACTTCTCAGGGTCACTTTGACTAACACTGCAGGCCCCACCTGGCTTTGATAGAACACAACAACTGGGCTAAGAAATGCCCTTACTCTCCCCTACAAAAAATTGTGAGAACAGATGATAGACTGTTAAAGCTGAAATGGGCCTAAGATTTTTAAAGACCTTAGAAATTATCTAAGTTCCTAAACTGATCCCCACCCTGTTCCAACACTGAGTGCTTTAGGAGAAATTTGGTGTGAAATTGATGATTAGTATTATTAGTATTAGTAATCACCTGGCATAGATTGGATTGGATCCTCCAAATTAAATCAAAATATACTTTGATTTTGCTGATTTTCATTTGAAAGTGGATATAGGAGAAGATATTGAAAGCTTTCTTGGAAAATATGATTAAATAAACAAAAGGAACCAACACGCTAGAGGAAAAGACTTCAGGAAGAGAGGAGAGGACTAGCAGTCTCCTTTATGTTCCTATCCCCAGCTGGCAACAGCAGAGACTTTGCAGAACTTCCTCTTGAGTAAAATCTAGGATTCTCTCTCTCTCTCTCTCTTCCTCTCTCTCTCTTCCTCTCTGTCTTTCTCTCTTCTCTCTCTCTCTCTCTCTCTCTCTCTCTCTCTCTCTCTCTCTCTCTCTCTCTCTCTCTCTCTCTCTCTCTCTCTCTCTGTCTCTGTCTCTCTCTCCTTTAAGAAAGGAGTGGGGAGGTGCTGGATCTTACAGACTTCTTACAAATGTAGAGAAACCCCAGATGTTGCAAGGGCTCTCCTTGTGTGACTCAAAGAGACAGACCTCTCTAGCCTTTTCTCCCCCTGCCCTTCTCCAAAGGAAACTTTAATTCCTGTCAGAAGGGGAAATAAGAAGTTGGGACAGGAAACCACTCTGCTCTCTTCAGAAAAAGGAGGTACCAGGCTAGAATTATATCTATCTGCTCCCTTGGATATTCTTAGTCTGGGGAATATGATTAAGTTCAATCTAACTTATAATTGCTGTGTCATTACTAGGGGAAAAGAGGACCCCAAGCTCTAAATCCAAGAATTGACGTCTTTCCCACCAAATACCAGTTCTTCTGTGAACACACATAGTGAATAGCAAAGAAATCCATTTATCAGAGAAGGTATACATAGGAGAGTATAATAGGAATGAGGTTAACTGAATGAGAGAGAGAGACAGAGAGACAGAGAGAGACAGAGAGACAGAGAGAGACAGAGAGACAGAGAGAGAGAAGAAAGAAAAACAGAGAGGGAGAGAGAGGAAGAGAGAGGGAGGAAGAGAGAGGGAGAGAATCCTAGATTTTACTCAAGAGGAAGTTCCGCAAAGTCTCTGCTGTTGCCAGCTGGGGATAGGAACATAAATGGAAACTGCTAGTTCCTCTCCTCTCTTCCTGAAGTCTTTTCCTCTAGTGCCCTGAAGTGGAGTTGGCCTCTTCCATTGTCCTTCTCAAAGCTGGACACCAGAAGTACCCGAAACAACTCAAAGCTTGAAGAAGATTTTTAAAAAGCTGGATAAGAGCTAAAGCTTTCTTGTGTCCTTAACTCCGTCCTGCCCCTCACCTCCACCAATAAGGAGAGAGTCCCATACCAATGGACTTTGGGAGAGGGCTTACACCAAAAAATGAGATATCCTAACACAACAGTGTCTTTACACATAGGAAAGTGATTACGAGCACAGCTGCCATTTCAGAATCAGTTGTCTGTGTGCAGTCGTATCACAGAGAGATTAGAATAAAGGTCAAAGTCAATGCCAAATTGGAAGAGAGGATAAAAATGGCTGTGATTACAGGAGCTCAGATCCCAAGGCCAATGTGTGGGATAGATCGTCTATCTAAGCAGGTGCTGTGGAGCACCTAGAGCTTGGTCAGGCATTGAAGATGCCAAGGTCACCCAGAGCATTCCAGGGCATTGCTGGTCATCCTGACTCTTGTCCTGCTACTGGACTTGGATGACTCTGGAAGAGACAGTAAGGCTGAAGACTTACTTAAATGCAATTCGAGCGCAAGTCGAGGCAGTTGCCTTGTGATGTCACTGGTCTGCTTCAAAAATGAAGGACAAGCAACAACAGCAGTTCTCTAACACTGGAATGCTCTCCCTCCACCTCTGTTGAATCTGTACCCATTCTTTAAAGCCTAATTCAAATATTACCTCCTTTAGCAAGCCTTCCCTGATTGCACTAAGATTCTTTGTGCCCTTTGTATTACTTCTCAATTAACTTGCATAGCTCACATGAACCTGAGAGTGTATATAGGGTAGGAAAGAGGGATAGATAGTGGAGTTAGACCATAACAGAAACTATGAGCTTCTTCCCAATCCCACCTTGACCTTTCCATCTCCGTTTTCCTCTCTGGCTGGACTTCCACAGGCATGTTCATGCCACAGCCTCCAACCTCAGGATGACAGAGACAGAGAGACAGTTCAAAGAATAAGAGAGACAGAGACAGAGAGAAAGACAGACAGACCTATCTAAAGGTGGGGTAATCCTGGCCTGCAAGTCCATAGTACCTATGGTCTCTCAGATGTGCCTCTCATGGCATGGCGCCATAGAACTTGACAATATTTTAACAGTTCCACTTAGCCAGGACTAATTCCCACTCCCAGCTTCCAAATCAATTCCTACTCTGTAGTTCCTGCCCTTTTTTCTGGTATCTAGAAATCTTGGGAATTGCAAGGGGAGAACCTAAAATGTTTCCAAACAGACGTTTCATACAGGCCTGGATGGCTTGATGTCTCCTTCTGGTATAGGAGAGAGCCAAGTTCTCGAAGGGTAGACCATCAGAGCACTTCTACAAATGCAGGGCCTACCAAGCTGGAAAATTTTATAATCTAGGATCCCAGATACCGTGTACGCCTGCTGATCAAGGGCTGACTAGGCTAGGTGTGCAGAGATTGGGTAGGCATCTGGGCTAGCCCCTGAGTCATGATTTTTATTTGTTTTTGGTCACAGAAACTTGTGAAGATAGTGTATAGTTATAAAAAGGATGTGATGTGTGACTGTGAAGAGAGGACTATGAAACTACAGATCTTTTGATGTACCGTGTCTCTGGCAGACATGAGCTCAGTGCCAAGCACATGGGCTGGTGAGACTGGGGCAGAGTCGTAAAGACCTGCAGGG